ATCCACTAATTTATCCCCTATTTATCCCCTTGACCATATCCTTTATACTACCTGTTTTCTCACCTGACCCCGTACTGGTATAAATCTAAGGAGATCTGTAATTTCTTATCACTTGAGAATGAACCATGAAAGTTCGAAACGTTGTGCGATTTTGTAGTAAGTGTAATACATTCTTGAGTTATTAAAGACTTTTCTTCACCTTGAAAACAATATGACTTTTGGTGAACTCATCTTCCAGCTGAACCCTGATGCAAGAGCATTAGTAAAAGAGATAGAAGCCCTAAATCAGAAAATAGTAAATACGGAATATGCGGTCATATTCAATGAGACATGCATAAAAGAAAACCTGCTGCCAGAATACACCAATATATATATTAGTATATTTTGGTAGCAGTCTTTCCTGTAGACATATATTATTAAATATGACCGAAAAAGTAAGATTAATAATTCTAACACGAATTTTCTCGATCTTTCGTACATTTCTTTTCACTGTTGGTGGTAATTCAAAAATCAATTCTCCAAAATTCATTTTTATTTCTAGTCTGACGCGACACTTGAGCGCGTTTCGTAAAACTTATTACATTTTCAAAGACTTTAATTTACACATACACAACTGAATAGAACTTACACATCTCCGATTTGTTTATATCTACATTTGAGTGAGGTGGATGGGGTGAGGTGGTATTAATAGGGTATTAATTTCATCAACACAAGACAGAACACGAAACAATGGGTATTGAATGGAAGTGATTGTAGAAAGCCTATTGGTCCATATTTCTTGATGCTTCTATATTGGAGCGGAGTCTTGAGGTGGGTAGAATATAGTTGTGCATTAATTGGCTGTTGATTGCTGGTGTTGACTTTTTAATGTGTAGTGCCTCGCAAACGTCAAGCCGCCTGCTATCGCTGTATCTATCGATGATTTCTGTGTTGTTTACTAGGATTTCTCTGGCGATGGTTTGGTTGTGGGAAGAGATTATATGTTCCTTAATGGAACATATAATAAAGAACCTCATACTCTCTGACCAAACTAAATTCCAAAGGGTAACGAAGGACACTACAACCGAATTGAAAGCAAAGGTCAACAAACTGATCGAAACTGTGAACGCCAAGAAATCCGGACTCCACCTGCCAAAGATTATTGGGGAATATAAACCTGGTTATGCGAATGGAAATGTCAAGACACACAAGCCTGGAAACCCACTTCGGCCAATCATTAGCCAGATACCCACACCACGTACAGACTGGCGAAGCGACTCAACGGCCTTCTGACTCCTTATGTCCCTTGCGCCTTCAGCCTGAAGTCTTCAAAGGAATTTGTTGACTTACTGCGGGGCACACGGGCCACAGGGATAAGAGCCTCGTTGGACATAGAATCACTGTTCACCAACGTACCTGTGGACGAGACAATCGGGATGATAGCCGACAGAGTGTATCGTGATCCAGCTTGTATTCCTCTTGACATACCAGAAAATATTCTAAGGAAACTACTCCAAGCTTGTACTAAAGAGGCACCCTTCTTGAGCCCGGATGGGCACATGTATAAGCAAGTAGATGGGGTCGCCATGGGTTCTCCCCTAGGTGTCCTGTTTGCAAACTTCTACATGGGTACCATCGAGCAAAAAGTCTTAGTCGACATGAACATGAAACAGGCCATATACTGCAGGTATGTTGATGACATTTTTACACAGGTACCTGATGTCAGACATCTGCAGGAGCTGAAGGAGGTGTTTGAGCAGAGTTCCATGCTGCGTTTCACTTACGAGATGGAAAAGGATCTGAAGCTGCCCTTTCTAGATGTAACAGTCATGGAAAAGAGCGGAGGTTTCCACACTGCAGTCTACACTAAGGAAACGAACATAGGAATGTGCCTAAATGCCAACAGCGACTGCCCAGACAGGTACAAGAGGAGTGTTGTTAACGCATATGTAGACCGTGCTCTCAGCCACAGCTCAGAATGGAAGCAAGTCGACGAAGAACTCTGTAGGGTAAGGCAGGTCCTAGTCAACAATGGCTTCTCCAATGGTTTCGTCGAAGACATCATAAGAAGGAAAGTGAAACGTCATGCAACCTCTGAAGAGACAACTAACACAACACCTATACCTCCTATTAGACTATTTTACAGGAACTTCTTTTCCACAGCTCATAATACAATACAATACAATACAATACAATACATTTTACAATACAATAAAACGGAAGAAAGGGTCCTGAAAGATATTGTTAATAGAAACGTTATCCCTACAGACAAAAAATCAGAGGATACAACTGACGATTTACTATAAAACCAGAAAAACGGCCAGCCTACTCATGAGAAACTCTCCAGACACATTATTTATTGCAAACACTAGTAATGCCGACATCCATCTCCAGTCTGGTACCCATGTTGTAGATTTTGCCCATTACTCGTTACCGGTGCGAGTTGTGGATGATGTCTCCATGGATCATACTGTTTGTACTCTCACACCAGGAGAACAGGGATCTCAGCCAGAGGTGCAAGCGCAAAACCTCAGTCCTACTGATTTTCCTGACTCTGTGGCTCAGCTTTTGGAAATTTTGAACAGGAATAGAGCTGTTGTTGCTCTACCAGGAGAAAAATTAGGTCTCACTCCTCTTATTACACATAAAATTCCCCTTGAACAAGGAACTATGCCTATTTATGTACCAGCTTACCGTCTTCCCCATTCTCAGAGAGCAGAAGAAGATAGACTTGTAGAGAAAATGTTACAGAGTGATGTAATTGAATCGAGTAATTCGCCATGGAACGCTCCATTGATTCTTGTACCAAAGCGAGATGGGGCTTGGAGACCTGTAATCGATTATCGCAAGCTTAACAGAGTAACAATACCTGATCGTTTCCCCCTTCCAGTTCTAAATGATTTGTTGCAAAGTATTGGTCGAAACAAAGTATTCTCAACGTTAGATTTGTTGCAGGGATTCTGGCAAATCCCCCTTGATGAGGAAAGTAAACAATTGACAGCCTTTAGTACTCCCGATGGTCATTTTCATTTCAAAAGAATGCCATTTGGTTTGCGTAGTAGTCCAATAACCTTTTCACGGCTCATGACAAATCTATTTCGTAGATTGATAGGAAGTACTCTTGTAGTTTACCTTGATGATCTCATAATCATGTTGCAAGATGTTCAGACTCATTTCCAGAACCTTGAAAAAGTACTTGCAAAGCTTGCTGAAGCTAATTTAAAAATAAAGCTTGCAAAATGTTCATTTTTAAAGCAGAAGATTAATTTCCTAGGTCATACAGTTACACCTTCAGGTATTACATTGAATGAATCAAAAATTATTGCTGCCCGTGATTTTCCAACACCTCGTACCGCAGAAGCCGTAAGACAGCTCACAGGTCTTGTAGAATTTTATTGTTCATTTATTGCTGGATTCTCTATTATAGCCGCTCCGCTTTACAAGTTGCAAAGAAAAGATGAACCCTTTGTTTGGGGAGAGGCCCAGGATCAGTCATTCAAAAAACTCAAAGCAGCCTTGATTTCGTCACCTGTCCTTAGGTACCCAGATCTTAGGTCCCAGCACCACCATAGCAGGAGGGTCCAAGCACCACCATAGCAAGAGGGTCCAAGCACCACCCTAGCAGGAGGGTCCCAGCACCACTCTAGCAGGAGGGAGGTGCTGGGACAATAGTATCTCTCCTCCCACCTCCAGAACTGCGTCAAGCACCCATTGTCCCTCGCCCCACACCTAATATTTCCGCTTTACACCAACACGTTGACTCATTAGAGCATAAAACTAATGCTAAGTTTAATAATTTACTCCTACCAAAGGCTCTTGGTACATATAAAATATTGAACCGTTTGTTATACGAGGTTTCTGAATGAGATCTTGTTATCCAAAGCTATTGAACGAGGATTTGTTATCTCGTTTGCTTCGTAATAAAGTCACTCTCGTTATCTGTGTGACAAAAACGATGGTGTTCTTATATACCTATTATCATACATGGCAACACTCGCCAACTGTCATATGTGGCAAAACTTACCAACTGCCATGTATTGCAAAACTCACAAACTGTCATATATGGCAACACTTACCAACTGCCATGTATTGCAAAACTCACAAACTGTCATATATGGCAACACTCACCAACTGTCATATATGGCAACACTCACCAACTGTCATATATGGTAACACTCGTCAACTGTCATATATGGCAACACTCACCAACTGTCATGTGGCAACATTCACCAACTGCCATATATGGCAACACTCACCAACTGTCATATATATGGCAACACTCACCAACTGTCATATATATGGCAACATTCACCAAATGTCATACATATGGCAACATTCACAAACTGTCATATATGGCAACACTCACCAACTGTCATATATGACAACACTCACTGTCATATATGACAACACTCACCAACTGTCATATATTACAACACCAACTGTCATACATGGCAACATTCACCAACTGTCATGTATGACAACTCACCAACTGTCATATATGGCAACACTCACCAACTGTCATATATATGGCAACATTCACCAAATGTCATACATATGGCAACATTCACCAACTGTCATGTATGGCAACTCACCAACTGTCATATATGGCAACACTCACCAACTGTCATATATATGGCAACATTCACCAACTGTCATATATGGTAACACTCACCAACTGTCATATATGGCAACACTCACCAACTGTCATATATGGCAACACTCACCAACTGTCATATATGGTAACACTCACCAACTGCCATATATGGTAACACTCACCAACTGTCATATATGGCAACATTCACCAACTGTCATATATGGCAACACTCACCAACTGTCATATATGGCAACACTCACCAACTGTCATATATGGCAACACTCACCAACTGTCATATATGGTAACACTCACCAACTGTCATATATGGCAACACTCACCAGCTGTCATATATGGCAACACTCACCAACCCGTCCACGGAAAAATGGCGCTAATCGCGTTTGGTTGTGAAGTGGTCAATGGTGATGAAGGTGATAGAGAGACGTGACTCCAGCATCAGTAGCGAGGCAGCAGGCGCAGGGCTCGGACTAGGACCATGTGTACACAATCAGGCTCCTCTATGGCCCTCACGCTCTCCATTACTACCACGCTCCTCATCCTCCTTCTTCTATGCCACAATGGTGAGAGGCATTTACTGGTTACTTACAGCAAAGTACACCGGGTTTTGTAAATTTGTTGGTGTGTAAATTCAAAACATCATGTTAATACTGTGGATGGCCACTGCATAATATGGAACAGGTTCTTTATCACTCTGGCCAAGCCTGTAAACTAATTTATTAGGTGATTTAAAACCAAATTTTCGGATGTTAGATCCTCTCTCACGGTACACTATACAATGTTTCAATATTGTAATGAACATTTTGTACTGGACCTTGAGGAAGAATATTCTTTCCATCTGAAAATATGGTTTTTAATATACAGACGAGGAGTCACAATAACGTGGCTGAAATTTTTTGGCCAAACCACACACTAGAAAGTAAAGGGACGATGGCGTTTCGGTCCGTCCTGGACCATTCTTAAGTCGATTGTGATGAGGGAAGGAGGCGAAGGCAATAAATAGGCAAGAGAGAGGTGAGGAGAAAATCTTAGAGGAAGAAAAAGTAAGGCAAAAGGTACGAAAGGTAAGGTGTAATAAAGGTGATAGTAATAGGAATAAAGAAAGATCGTAAGAAAAAACAAGACAAAGAAAAAGAAAGAAGGAAAGAGAAAGAAAGATAAATGTTGGGTATGTTGTGTATTAGAGCCGATTCAACAAGACAGCGTCTGTGTAGAGGCAGGAAAGATTATTTTGGAGGAAGGCCAGTTAATAGGATGATTAGAATCCCTAACATGACAGAAGAGAACATTGTTTGTGTCTGCAAACTTAACACTTCTTTTGTGTTCTTTAAGTCTGTCATTAATTGTACAGCCAGTTTGACTAAAGAATTGGAGAGGACAAGACGAACAGGAAAAAAGAGTAGACACCAGCAGCATTAGATGCAGGAGTAGCAGTGTGAACTAGATTGCTACGAAGTGTGTGTTAGTTTGTCGAAAAGCGACCTTTATGTCAAGAGGACGAAAAGTATTGGTAAAAGTTTTGAGTTCGGATATGAAGGGAAGGCAGAGTACAGTGCTTCTAGTGTTGGAAGCAGGTTTAGGATGAAAGAAATTTCGTTTAGCTTGAGAATAGCCACAGTTGATAAAATGCAAAGGGTAACCAAGGCGAGAGAATGATTTGTAGAAAAAGGCAATTTCAGAATCAAGAAACTGAGGGTCGTTGACGTGTAGAGCGCGGAGGAAGAGAGAGACGAGGACACCTTTCTTAACAGAAGGAGGATGGTAGGAAAATAAGTGAATGTACATGCCACTATGCATGGGTTTGCGGTAGACAGAGAAAGAGAACCCGGACACAGAGCTGTGAACGTGAACGTCAAGAAAAGGAAGGAGGAAATTGGATTCCCATTCAACTTTGAAATGGATGAAAGAAGCCAGATTGTTAAGAGAGGAGAGGAAAGGCAGGAAAAGACTAAGGTCATGTGGCCATAAAGCAAAAATGTCATCAACATAACGAAGCCAGAGAGAGGGACGTGTATCAGTAGAAGGAAGAAGAACAGTTTCGAAGTAATCCATGTAGAAATTGGTAAGAACAGGGAAGAGAGGGGAACCCATAGCGACCCCGAAAGTTTGAGTGTAATATTTACCGTTGAAAGAGAAAGAGTTCGAGGACGGGGGGAATGGTGAGGACTGTGAGACAGGAAAAGGTTGCTGTGGCTCAGTAACGCACATGCGTCTCTGAGCCACAGCAACGCGTGGCCGGGTACAGCTAGTTATAAATAAATTAAAATAAAATGAAAATTATTTTCCTCCCACAAGTTTATGGTGTCTTCTTTGTCTTTATGGGGCCTCACGGCTGAGTGGACGGCGCTTGGAGTTTGTAGTCCTAAGGGTCCCGGTTCGATCCCCGGCGGAGGCGGTAACAAATGATTCTTTCACCCTGATGCGCCTGTTCACCTAGCAGTAAATAGGTACCAGGGAGTTAGACAGCTGCTACGGCTGCTTCCTGGGGATGTGTGTGCGTATGAACAGGATATCACAATAAGTCGGGGCTTCTCATTCACAGAGCCTCAGTCTCCCTACACGTTAATATGTAGTTAAAACCATAGATTATGTTGCATCAATTGAATTTATTAATTTTGCACAATTTCTCGATGGAGAAAGCTTATAAGAGAAATATTAATAATAACAATAATAATTATAATAATAACAATAATAGTAAAAGTAATGAGGAAATCCGTAGGAGCTGTGATGAGGGGTTTGAACCTGTGTGGTGGGTGTTCCTACGCACACGCTGTAGCCACTAGACCACGACATGGTATAAGAATTGCAACCTGGAGTTCTACTGAACACATGAAGGTTTCCTGAGGCATTCACTGAAGCCGGACCAGGATTTTCACACAATTCCCCTCATGCACTCTGGCTCTGTCATCCAGGAATGTTCTACAATTAACTGACGCTCCTCTTCCAGTACACACAGTAATCCCACCAACGTGACTGCATCAATGAGAAAATCCGTATACTCTCATCACGGCTTCTAATGTGTGGTGCTGGGACCTTCCCAGCACCACCCTAACGCCACCGTCGAAGCCGTAATGAGAGTATACGGATTTTCTGAGGGTTCCAGCACCACCCTAGCAGGAGGGACCCAGCATCACCCTAGCAGGAGGGTCCCAGCATCACCCTAGCAGGAGGGTCCAAGCACCACCATAGCAGGAGGGTCCCAGCACCACCCTAGCAGGAGGGTCCCAGCATCACCCTAGCAGGAGGGTCCCAGCACCACCTTAGCAGGAGGGTCCCAGCACCACCCTAGCAGGAGGGTCCCAGCATCACCCTAGCAGGAGGGTCCAAGCACCACCCTAGCAGGAGGGTCCCAGCACCACCCTAGCAGGAGGGTCCCAGCACCACCCTAGCAGGAGGGTCCCAGCACCACCCTAGCAGGAGGGTCCCAGCATCACCCTAGCAGGAGGGTCCCAGCATCACCCTAGCAGGAGGGTCCAAGCACCACCATACCAGGAGGGTCCCAGCACCACCCTAGCAGGAGGGTCCCAGCATCACCCTAGCAGGAGGGTCCAAGCACCACCATAGCAGGAGGGTCCCAGCACCACCCTAGCAGGAGGGTCCCAGCATCACCCTAGCAGGAGGGTCCCAGCACCACCCTAGCAGGAGGGTCCAAGCACCACCATAGCAGGAGGGTCCCAGCACCACCCTAGCAGGAGGGTCCCAGCATCACCCTAGCAGGAGGGTCCCAGTACCACCCTAGCAGGAGGGTCCCAGCATCACCCTAGCAGGAGGGTCCCAGCACCACCCTAGCAGGAGGGTCCCAGCATCACCCTAGCAGGAGGGTCCCAGCACCACCCTAGCAGGAGGGTCCCAGCACCACCATAGCAGGAGGGTCCCAGCACCACCCTAGCAGGAGGGTCCCAGCACCACCCTAGCAGGAGGGTCCCAGCATCACCCTAGCAGGAGGGTACCAGCACCACCCTACCAGGAGGGTCCCAGCATCACCCTAGCAGGAGGGTCCAAGCACCACCATAGCAGGAGGGTCCCAGCACCACTCTAGCAGGAGGGTCCCAGCACCACCATAGCAGGAGGGGTCCCAGCACCACTCTAGCAGGAGGGTCCAAGCACCACCCTAGCAGGAGGGTCCCAGCATCACCCTAGCAGAAGGGTCCAAGCACCACCATAGCAGGAGGGTCCCAGCACCACTCTAGCAGGAGGGGTCCCAGCATAGCAGAAGGGTCCCAGCATCACCCTAGCAGGAGGGTCCCAGCATCACCCTAGCAGGAGGGTCCCAGCACCACTCTAGCAGCAGGGTCCCAGCATCACCATAGCAGGAGGGTCCAAGCACCACCATAGCAAGAGGGTCCAAGCACCACCCTAGCAGGAGGGTCCCAGCACCACCATAGCAAGAGGGTCCCAGCACCACCCTAGCAGGAGGGTCCCAGCACCACCATAGCAGGAGGGTCCCAGCACCACTCTAGCAGGAGGGTCCCAGCATCACCCTAGCAGGAGGGTCCCAGCATCACCCTAGCAGGAGGGTCCAAGCACCACCATAGCAGGAGGGTCCAAGCACCACCCTAGCAGGAGGGTCCCAACATCACCCTAGCAGGAGGGTCCAAGCACCACCATAGCAGGAGGGTCCCAACATCACCCTAGCAGGAGGGTCCAAGCACCACCCTAGCAGAAGGGTCCAAGCACCACCATAGCAGGAGGGTCCCAGCACCACTCTAGCAGGAGGGTCCCAGCATCACCCTAGCAGGAGGGTACCAGCACCACCCTAGCAGGAGGGTCCCAGCACCACCCTAGCAGGAGGGTCCAAGCACCACCATAGCAGGAGGGTCCCAGCACCACCCTAGCAGGAGGGTCCCAGCACCACCACAGCAGGAGGGGTCCCAGCACCACTCTAGCAGGAGGGTCCAAGCACCACCCTAGCAGGAGGGTCCCAGCATCACCCTAGCAGAAGGGTCCAAGCACCACCATAGCAGGAGGGTCCCAGCACCACTCTAGCAGGAGGGTCCCAGCATCACCCTAGCAGGAGGGTCCAAGCACCACCATAGCAGGAGGGTCCCAGCACCACCCTAGCAGGAGGGTCCCAGCATCACCCTAGCAGGAGGGTCCAAGCACCACCATAGCAGGAGGGTCCCAGCACCACTCTAGCAGGAGGGTCCCAGCACCACCATAGCAGGAGGGGTCCCAGCACCACTCTAGCAGGAGGGTCCAAGCACCACCCTAGCAGGAGGGTCCCAGCATCACCCTAGCAGAAGGGTCCAAGCACCACCATAGCAGGAGGGTCCCAGCACCACCCTAGCAGGAGGGTCCCAGCACCACTCTAGCAGGAGGGTCCAAGCACCACCATAGCAAGAGGGGTCCCAGCATCACCCTAGCAGGAGGGTCCCAGCATCACCCTAGCAGGAGGGTCCAAGCACCACCATAGCAGGAGGGTCCCAGCACCACTCTAGCAGGAGGGTCCCAGCACCACCATAGCAGGAGGGGTCCCAGCACCACTCTAGCAGGAGGGTCCAAGCACCACCCTAGCAGGAGGGTCCCAGCATCACCCTAGCAGAAGGGTCCAAGCACCACCATA